AGTGTGGAATAGAACGTAAATGTAGCTTCATTATCAGATACGCCACCTGGTGTTGCACCTGTGCCCCGTGGCTGAGGAGGAGGAGGAGGAGGAGGAGGAGGAGGAGGGGGAGGAGGAAGAAGAAGAAGAACATGAACATAAACTTTTCGCGCACGGCGCGGATGTCTTGGGCCTGCGCTAAGCCCCCCCCCTCCCTGGCGGCCGGAGCGCGCCAGGGGCGGCGCCGAAGGCGCCGCTGGGGGGCCCAGCGCGGATCCAAGAAATCCGCACGGAACGCGAAAAGTTTATGCTTATGTCGTTTTTGCTCGTCGTCTTCTTCTTCTTCCTCTACTTCTTAATAGTTTGATAATTTTCTTCGACGCGAGCCATCGTGGCCTCCGCTGCCCCCCCCACGCAGCCCACCAGAGCGCGGGCGGGAAGCAGCTATGAGCGACACCACCTGCTCGGACCACAGCCGGGAGGCCCAGACGAGAGTTGCCGTGCCCAGGGTCTGGTCCAAGATGTGATGATGATGATGATGATGATGATGAGGAGGAGGAGGAGGAGGAGGAGGAGGAGGAGGAGGAGGAGCAAGAGGAGGAGGAGGAGGAGGAGGAGGAGGAGAGGAGGAGGAGGACGGAGGGGAGGAGGAGGAGGAGGAGGAGGAGGAGGAGGAGGAGGGGAGGAGGAGGAGGAGGAGGAGGAAAGGGAGGAGGAGGAGGAGGAGGAGGAGGAGGAGGAGGAGGAGGAGGAGGAGGAGGAGGAGGAGGAGGAGGGGGAGGAGGAGGAGGGGGAGGAGGAGGAGGAGGAGGAGGAGGAAGAAGAACGCTGGACGTCGTGGCCTCCGCTGGCCGTGCCGTCCCCCCCCCCCGCGCGGCCCACCGGAGCGCGGGGCGGGAAGCAGCGCGGAGCGCGGCTGCGTGCCGGTGCCTCGGCCGATCGGGCGCCGGGGCCTTCTGCGTCGCTCCGCGGGAGCCGCGTGGTGCGCAGCGGTCACTGCACCAGCCTTGCAGACTTTTTGTTGGCCCGCGGGCGCGCAAAGAGGCGCCGAAGGCCGTGCAAGCTGGAGCGGGCCGCGCCGAAGCAAAGGGGAATTTGAAAAGCATCGGAGCGAGCGGCGCCTGGCTCAGGGCGGAACAGGGCACAGCGCGGCCAAAATGGCGCGGGAGGCATCGCAAGACAGCATCAGGGTCGCGTCAATCAAAACTGCGGTACCAGGTAACGCAGGGCGTGCCTAGTAAGCCGACATTGCAGACGTGTTGCGGCAGGTTTTTGGCGTGGATTTCTGTCAAGGCAAAACCCAGAAGCGGCGAGTGAAAAACGGAGTGAATTTCGCGTGGATGTTTGGTTTTGTCTTCATTCCTGGCCGAAAAAATCGCACGAAATCCACTTCGAAATCCGGAACGACATTCTCCAGCACACTCCGGGCCCACTCCTCTGTTTTCCGAATGACGTCCGCTCTGCGATGTTGGCGCCATGACACGTGGTTCGCAACTGCCCTTCGGGCCGGGCCCCCTGGTCTGTTAGCTCGCGCGCGCGTGTCGCGTACCTCGAGCCAAACGGAAAGAGATCGTGAAGCAGATCCGCAGCCTAAACCGAGAGGGCGCAGACCGAGGGGGCAGGGGGAGGGGAGAAAGCCTTCTTGGAGGGAGGCTGCTTCTTCGAAGGCGCCGGCCCGCTACGATTCTGCCGTGACGCGGAGGAGGGCTCGACCCAGCGCCAGCGACACGATGTGGAGACAACATCGTCGTCGTTTTGAGATCAATATGTCTTGGGCCATGGGCGGCGTTTTCAACCTCACACGCCCCCGCTGGGGTCGCCGACGGTCGACACGACGCGAACCTACCGTAATCGTGCAGCCGACTGCGTGGGGCAGACAGTCCAGAGGCAGCTCCGGGTTCCCTCCCCCCCCCCATGGCATCACCGAAGCGCGGGGCCCCGCCGCCCTTCCTGGCGGCGAGGCCCCGAGAGTCCGAGTCTTCCCCTTCGGGGCGGGGCTTAGCCTTCCCCCTGGAGGCAGCTCCGGGTTCCCTCCCCCCCGTGCATCACCGAAGCGTGGGGCCCAGCCGACCTTCATGGCGGCCAAGCCCCGAGAGTCCGACTCTTCCCCTTCGGGGCGGGGCTTAGCCGTCCCCCTACGCCACGCCGCAAGACCCCCCACTCACCCGAGCCACGAGACTCGAGTGAGCGTGACGCACGGCCGAGACTCTGCGCGACCGCGAAAGACGGGGAGAGAGACAGCGGAATGAGAGAAACAGCAGCCCGGCACGGCTGTAGCAGCACGGCAGGCCAGCACGGCAAGTCCTGCACGGCAGGCCAGACCAGCACGGCAGACCAGCGCAGCATGGAGGGGCCTGGGGCCGTCTGGGGCCCTCTTGGGCACGTCTCTGGGGACCTCGGGGGCCGTCTTGGGTGGGCCTCGTTGACCTTTTATACGTGTGGGAATGCCTACGTAAGGCTGTCTTGGGGCCCTCTTGGGCCCGTCTTGGGGGGCCTCTTGGAGGCCTCGGGGGCCGTCGCAGGCTACTCCTAGGCCCCTCCTGAGTGAGCCCCTCCCTCTATCTCCTGGACGCGTCTTAGGGGCGTCTCGGGGCCTTGGGGGCCGTCCTTGGGGGGCCTTCTTGGCTTTTTCGGCATCTTGAGGGCTCAACCTCTCGCGGGCGGGTGGCCCACTGTTCGGGCTTTGGAGCGTCTAGGGCCGTGTTTGTTCGACAATATTGGGACATCGGGATAAGAGCTCGACGGCTAGCCAAACAGTCAAAGCTGCCAAGATAGTTGAACATGCTCGCGATTCAGTGCTATTGCGTTGTCTGACATATTGATGAAAACATGGATGGTCAATTCCACCCTTCCATGCACCACGCGAATCCAAAAAGGGAACAACCTTATGGCTCACCTCGTCAGAAGCTCGTCACCGTTGTCTGGGACTACTGGACTGGCACAGATGGCGCACCAGACGGTGGGCTTTCCCAACTGCCGCATGGCCATCCGTGCGTGACAGTACTCTGGAGCACTGCCAGGGAGGCCAAACACCCTTCACAAGCCGTCCCTTGCTCACGGAACGCATGTCCGCGAGGTGTGCTGATCAAAATGCACCCAACGTCATCCTTACCAGTAGGAGCCGTGTTCGCGCCCCCCGATGCGGCGAGGACTATAAAGTCAGGGCGCTAGGTCTGCTCTCCTTGAGTCGGCCGTCACGGACTGCCGTCACGGCACACATGGCGCAGCAGACCAGGCAGCTGATCGTAGCAGTGATGAGGAAGGAGACCGCCTTGTACCCCGAGGGCGGGGTATCCTCGGTGGTGTTCGCAGCCGCCGCCGTCTCAACTGCGCTTGACTCGCTCGAAGTGCTCGACATACTATTGGTGTTGGCCGTGACCGTCGTGGCCGACAGTGGCGCAGGCGCACTCACAGAGGTCGTGTGTGGAGCCGTGGTGGAACTCACGGACGTCAAAGATACGGTAGCGCTTGAGCTCTCGGAGGTCGTGTGCGGATTCTTGATGGAACTTACGGTCGTCGAAGAACTCGCAGAGATGGTGTGGCTAGTCGTGGTGGAGCTCGTGGAACTCGCGGTCGTCAAAGGTACGCTAACGCTTGAGCTCTCAGAGGTCGTGTGCGGAGTCGTGGTGGAACTCGCGGTCGTCGAAGAACTCGCAGAGGTCGTGTGTGGGGGGTCGCAGTGGAACTCGCGATCGTTGAGGTCACCTTCTCAAAAAGCTTATCATACTGATGCTGGCTGGGGCCAGGATCAAAGGTTTGATTGCATAGGTAACCATGAGCTTAATATCCGAACGCATAAGCGTAACCTGAACAACTGGTTTCGAGATCGCCGGCGGCAACGACGTCCGCTTCAGCACCATGTATTTGACCACTAAAACTGCTGCAGCGCGCACCCATCTATATGCCGTCGGCGAGTCCGGGTCAGGAGGGAGAACACGTACGCTGACCCGCTTGCAGTGACGAGGCCAGTGGCACTGCTGCCCCCCACCACCACCCGGGCCCCGTCGCCACTCGCGGCCACCGAGATCCCGAATAGTTGGTGTATACCGCAGTCCAATGCCGCGAGCTTCGCCAGCTGCGCGCCGCTGGCCCCGTCGAACACGTACGCGGACCCGGACGCGGACCCGGCGTCGTCGTCGTAAGGCCCCCACCACTGCCCGGGACCCGTCGGCGCTCATGGCCACCGAGACACCGAAATGGTCGCCGTCGGCCCCGTCCGCGGCCACGAGCTTCGCCAACTGCGCGCCGCTGGCCCCGTCGAACACGTACGCGGACCCGGACGCGGACCGGCGCCGCCGTCGCAATAGGCCCCACCACTGCCCGGGACACGTCGGCGCTCACAGCCACCGAGCTCCCGAAGCAGTCGTTGGCGGCCCCGTCCGCGGCCACAAGCTTCGCCAACTGCGCGCCGCTGGCCCTGTCGAACACGCACGCGGACCCGGACCCGTGTTGCCAGGCATCGGCCCCCAACAACGACCCGGGCCCCGCCGGCGCTCACGGCCACTGAAGCCTCGAAAAGGTTGTCGTCGGCCGCGTCCGCGGCGACGAACTTCGCCAGCTGCGCGCCGCTGGCCGAGTCGAACACGTACGCGGACCCAGCGCCGGGCGCCGGGTCGTCGTCGCAGTTGGCACCCACCACCACCAGGGCCCCGTCGCCGGGGGGGGGGGACGGGAGGGGGCATAAGTTAGCGATCCCCACCCCCGCGGACTGTGGTGCCAGACGCACTGCGGCAGTGCCAAGGACGCACTGAGGGGGGGGAGCGTTATGTCATGAGGGGGGCAGGAGGAAGGGAGGGGAGGGGGCATAACGCGCGTTCTGGCCCAGAGGGTAAAAACCACCCTCGAGACATGACGCGACCCCATCCTGGCCCTGCGCCTCGCGCAGCACGCACCATGAGCCCGTGCTGCACTGGAACGGAGCGCTTGAGCACGCTCTGAAAGAGAGGCGGGCAGAGCGAGCCCCATACGAAGCGAGGAGGAAGACAAAGAGGAGCCAACTCCCCAGTCGCCGAGGACCCGGCCTCGTCCTCGTCGTCCCCGCCCTCCTCGGCTGGATCCTGCGGACAGAGAGGGCGCCCGCGCACGTGCCGAGGCCAGTGTGTAGAGGAGGGCGGCAGAGCATCTTGTGGCAGCGCCCCGCGCTGACGATCGCATGAGCGAGCCCCCCGCGCCGACGAGAAATCACGACGGGAGGTCTTGGGCCATTCTACGCCCCTTGGGGCCCTCACCAGGCCCCTGGGCCTCCATGAAACGGGGACCACGTTGTCGCGGGTCAGGGACCGCCCGCACGATGGAGAGCAGGGCGCGAACGTGAGATGGAGAGCGCGACTTCTTGATGCGCTCACGCAAGGGTTAGGTCGGGCATGTCCCCCGACATGCGGATTTGGGATCAAAATTTGTCAAACAAATGTTCCATAGTAGTCAAAAATAATCAGAAAAGTCGTCCCCGATCTATTGTTTGACTGTGTTTGACTATTCCTCCTGTACAGGGACAGGCCCGACTGAACGCAAGGGCCCTGACAAGAACACTGGGGGGGCAGGCAGGCGAGCCCAGAATCGAATCGACGGGTCGAATCGGCGATCGAGAGGAGTCGGATCGGCGACCGTCGGCAGCCGAGGCGGGAGGAGTCGAACCGGCGGAGATCGGCGGGCTCGCCCAGTCGGGGTCCGAGTCGACTCGCTTCGGAATCAGAAGCCATCGGGATCGGATCGAGTCGGAGCAGAGGAATCGGAGCGAGCCCTGCTGGTGGGATGGGCGGGGGGGAAGGGGTGGGGGTGGAGGAGGCGGGCAGGCAGCGCAGGCAGGCGGGCAGCGCCGAGGGGGAGAGCACGCGGTCGAGGGCCAGGCCGAGGCCGAGGCCGAGGGAGAGGCACGAGCAGAGGGAGCGAGTGGCACGGAGAGGCGCCCGCGTGTGCGGGGCAAAGGCGGGGGGGGATGGGCACGGCAGGGTGCGCTATCGACCTCGGATGGCCGACACATCGCCCACGCATCGCCGATGCATCGTCGAGGCAGACCGCCACATGCATCGTCTGTGCGTCGTCGGTGCACCGCTACGGTATCCACGATGTGAGTCATTGTATCCACCATTCGAGGTCGATGCTTGACCCCCCCATGCTTACCCCCCCTTCCTATCGCTGGCCCCGAGCGTGCCAGGCAGCAGGAGGGAACGCCCCCACACCCGTCGGCGCTCTCCATCGAGATACGTCAAGCGTCGAGGGGGGGGGCGAGCCTCTTGGTGTCCCTGCCAGCCACCTGAGCCGCACGTGGCCCAGGGGTGTGCTCCGAGCTCTTCCCTGCGGCCCTTCAACCCCACGGGCAGGGGCCTGGTTGATCGCTGCTGCTTCTTGGGCAACCCATTCCCCGCTCGACCAGCTGCCAACTGGGAACCATCAGCCCTCCCCACCACCATCTCCGACGACAAAAGAACAGCACGGTGCGCACGTGGCGGCAGCATCTGGATCGTGGGCGGGCAAAACCACGAGCACCTTGGCCTCTGACCAGGATGCATACGAGGATGGCCAGGGGAGCATACTTGCCAGCTGTGCACTGGCCCACTACCCCCATCAGAAATGAGTGCAAACTGACTGCGGGTGTACAAACCATCTGCCGACCTCCCCGCCGCCCCTTTACATGGGCTTTGGCAGCGAGGGTGGGGGCGTGCACGCACTGGCACACCCGGCGCACTCTGACTCTGCGCGCGTCGCGCACGTGGCGCACTACTCTGCGCGCGGCTGGAGCATGAGGCACACCTGGCACACGTGAAGCACGTGGCGCGCCGGGCACGCTTGGGCGCCTGGGGAACCTGGTGCCCCTGGTGCGAGTTGCGCTCCCGGCGCGCATGGCGCACGTCGCCGGCGTCGCGCACCTGGCGCCTGAATGCAATCCCCATGACTGTCCATCCGACAACGTCCTTTGCCTATGCTGAGTTCCGGACGCTATTTACTCAGATGGTGGAAGCACGGCTGGGAGTAAGCGAGGCTCCCATTTGGAATTCGCTCTATCCATACACCCTGCTTGTGATCCCAACTTCGAAGGACCGCTGGCGCTCAAGGCTTCACTTTCCGTGTCTAAAACCGAAGATGTCGACCGATACGCAAAGATCACGACGAAACAAGGTGCATTTGCCCCATATGTCGTCTCCAAGAGGGGTGGGGAGAGGGGAAGGGAAAAGAGGGGGGGGCGGGGGCAAATGACTGTCTCCGCAACGTCTTCCTGAAAGGCTTGCAAGACAGCCCAAGGAGCCCCCAAGAGGCATCCAAGACACGCCCAAGAGGCACGAGGCAGCTAAAAGGCCCCCATAGACGAGCGTCTTTCGAAAGCCCCGTGATCACCGCGATGTCGCACGCATCGCGTCTGAGCGGGCGCCCTCCAGGCACAGTTTCGCGTGGCCGCTCGCATACGGCAGGCTCGTGTCGTGACGACCCTGGCGTTGGTCTCTGA